ATCCCACCTTCTACTCCATTGAAGATCATCTCAGAAAATCCCCGAACTTCCCTCTTCCCTGGCCAATGGCAAGAAGGATTTATTGTTGTGTCATGTTTGTGTGGTTAAAATACTCAATATGAAATATTTACATTCCTAAAATAAAGCTTTTAAAATTTACTGGTGCTTCTCCTGATATTGTTGGATGGTGTTCAGAGTCATTGGAAAGAAAAACCAAATGAACAATAGAAAAGAGACATGGCAAGGCAAAGTATTACATGGTCAGTACACAAAGAAAACCTAGGAGGTAAAGCAAATAACAAGACTTGGCGATGATTATGAGCAGGAAAGTTGGAAAAAAGGGACAGATTCTGGCTGTACAAGACCAAGCCTTAAGAACAAATGCACACAAAGCTGGAATTGAGAAGATAGCAACAGAAAGCAAGTGCTTTTTCTACAACCTAGTTAGCTTCTGCAAGAAGACTACAGAGATTGATTACAAACAACCACATGATAAAATAGCAACAATGGCATATTGGAACGATTACAAGAAATGCCATTTGCCTGCCAGCAAAGAATTGGTGGGATTATAAAATAGACAAAATAATAGCAAATAAAGAAGCTAAAATATGTTCTGACTTTAGAATACTAACAGACAAGCACTTGCCATGTAACACGCCAGACCTAACAACTGTTCATAAAAAAAAAAAGGCTGAATAGTAGAGGGTCAGGACTTGAAGAAAGCAGAACAGAAAAGAATGAACTGGAGACAATCACAAAGACCTGAAAATAGAACTAGAATGACTGTGGCAAATGTGGTACCAATATTAAAATGCACCAATATTAATACACTCCAGGGGTCCAATCCAAAAATATATGGGACTGAACACTGCACAGATTGACAAAATCATCATCAGACAGTTGCCAATGGCAGCTTTACTTGGAACAGCTCACATCCTGCAACAATATGTCTAACCCCATCAAACAACATTTGCCTATCCCAGGTCCTTGGAAGGATTCAGTGGGTAGACAAAAAGGCAGAATCTAGTCTAAATATCTATCTGACGGTGTGACCAACCATAATAATTCATTCCTTTATGCTTTAATGCTGCTTAAGGAAGAAGCAGCAGAAGTCAAACCACTTGTAGCATAAATTTCTAACCATCTTTACAGCCATGATTTCAGGAAAGACAGCGTGCCCAAATACCTATTAGCACAATTCTACCCTAGCTACTTAAGGCTTTCCTCAAAAGGAGAAAATCAAGTTGGTCAAAATGTCTGGAGTTGTTCTAATATTGCTTGGTCTAAATAGTTTGAATTTGGCCACCCAGGACATTCTCCAGGGAGGAAGATAAAGACAGTTGAGTTTAGGCTGATCCATTGTTGAAGGTATTCAAGTTGGCGGTCATGCAAGACCAGGGAAGCTTCAGCTGTACTGGACATTCCCCAAAGAAAACCACAAGGATGGGAATGTTTGGGTCTTGCTCTGTCCCTATAGAAATTGTAGTTTTACTCCATCTACCAGTAAGCAAAGAGAATGGTTCCTTTCCTATTTGTTGCATGAAGAATGATGTTAGACATGAGCCTCAGTGGGAGGTATCCACTTTTGCCTCACTGAGATAAATGAAAACAGCTGGCAAGTAAGTGCTCAGAGTCCTGTGCAATGTTCCGTTCCACAGTTCTCTTCCCATATCAACACAATGTATTTTTTGCACAATTTATAACATGTCCATGTTAAATCCAAACTTCTTAATGCTCACGAGATGACATTGCTTCACTCCAGTCCTAATATTTGTGTTACCTCCAATATGGCTTGTTCTCTCTTCCAATATTATTACTGTTCATATCTACTACTTTTTCAAAGCATCTATACAGCTGAATATGTTTGACTAGTATCTGTTCCAGGTTTCAGATCAGATTTAAAAACTCAGAGGTATTCATTTCATTCTAAATGAAAACACAGCAAATCATTGAAATCAAGCCTAGACTAGGAACTCAATGAGTACATAACAACAGTACAACAACCACAACAAAACAAAACAAAACATTGTTTTAAAACCACTCTTTAACATCAGGGTCCAGTAATTGATGTAAAATTCCTAATACCGGTAACTAATGTATTACAAATGTCTGGGAGAATAGTTTGGGAACAAATCCCAAAGTCAGGACAATTACTAATAGCCTACTAATAATTCCATATCATGATTAAGGCAGTATTTTAAAGTTCTTGGAAAATTCTATATTTGTTTGTGAGGATATTACCGTGAAGGGAAAAAATGCTTCTTTATTGTCATAGCAGACTAGATAATGAGTTTTTACTCAAATTTACTTACATTTGTTTTTATTTTCTATCTTCTTAAATTTAAATATCTCCCAACTACCTTCTTAAATCTTAGCACAGAACAACAACAAACAAGTTCGTTTTGTTCAATAGTACCTACTAATTCACTATTACTGTGCAACTAATTATTTCTGCATCAGGGCTTCAACAGGTCCAGAATCAAGACAATCAAAACAAGAAAAGCCTTTTTAGGATCTGAAAGCCAATGACGTTTATACATCCTGAACTCTTGCAAAAGAGAAATTCACCATCATTCTAATTCTCCATAAAAAGGGAACTGACTTGAACAAGCAACATATTCTAAATCCTTCACCTTCAGACCAATAAACTTTTGCCACAGAGAGAGTATTAAATCTAGTCTGTGTCATACAAGAGAGTTGGAACAATTGCATGACAGCTGCTATGATGGATGTAAAATCCTAAACTGACTTAGATCCAAGAAGCTTAGCAGAAAGGAATGTTTGTTCTCCAAGAAAAAATGCTTGGCTGATTCTGCAACATTAGCAATGAGATAGCTTCTTTCACTTCAGACTGGGCAACGTAACTTCTATTTGTTCTGCTCATTCACCACAAAACACAAATACTGCAAAAAAGACATTCATCTGTGGAGGAAACCTGGTCAAAGATTCCTTCATATCATAACAATTAAATAGAAAATAGCTCTGGAATTGAAAAATAATTATGTTTTATAAGTAAAATGTATCTGAGATTATTCTCTTTATACTAAAGGAGTATGCCAATTTGCCAATGTGTTTGCACTTTAGACAGGCCAGTTCAATTATTGATTAATTCTAAAGTGAGATGCACACATGATTTAACTTTCAACAAGTGTAGTATTTTGGCATACCAGAATAAAAACGTTCCCATTTTTCTAACTTATTTTGTTATTGCATCATATGTCTTGCAAGGGAAAGAAAGTGTGGATGATAAACACACTGTCCATTACTTCAGGTTTACAGTTAGATCTGATTATTGTTAGAATAATATTAGAATAATATATTAGAATAAAAAATTAAGCCACAAAGCTCATTCTTTCAGTAATTTAGCATACTTTAAGGACAACAGGATACTGAAGAGCCTGTTCCCAAACTAATTATTTTAAATATAGTCCTATTTTGGAAAAAAAATTAAAGAATGTATAATCCTACACAATTTCACTTGGGAAGGCTAGCTCTACTGAAGTTCATCATAGGCTATTTCTGAACTTCTGTAGGATATTAATTACTCTCAATTATATCAGTGTAATTCCATTTTAAAAAGTGGGAAACAGCTTAAACATGCAGGCAAATCAACATTTTCCTTATTTTTGCTGCACCCAACAATATTCTGAAATAAATTCTATCTCCTTCTATGGAAACAGGCAGAGGATTATAATCTAACAATCCTCCATGCCCGTGGAAAAAGCCTGGAGGCACTCTTTTCAGCAGTGTAATTCTTAACAAGGATGTATAGAAATAAAAAAAGATAAAGATATGCTTCTATTTGCAAATGATAGCAATGCCAAGAGAAGACAAGGCAGAATGCATTATGCAAATAATTAATCCGATATCTATAGCTGAATGTGTCAACAGGTACCGTGATGCTCCATGAAACTAGTAAGCTATTAAGTCACTGCCCTCAGTGTCTGTCAGAGAATGACATGGTTTTCTCATTTACAGGTAGTCTTCAACTTACAATGACAACTGAGCTCAAAATTTCTGTTGTTAAGTGAGACATTTGTTGAGTTTTGCCCTATTTTATGACCTTTCTCACCACTGTTATTAAGCGAATCACATTGATCAGTTAGCAAGTCGCTTGGTTGTTAAGTGAATCTGGCTTCCCCAATGACTTTGGCTCATCAGAAGGTTGCAAAAGGGGATCCTTGGGACACGACACCGTGTCACAAACATGAATTGGGGAACACAGGATCATGGCAACGCTGCAAAGGCATCACTGTGAAAAATGGTCCTAAGTCACTTCTTTCAATGCCGTGGTAACTTTGAACAGTCCCTAAACGAACCATTGTAAGTCAAGGACTGTCTCTATTTACCACAGCAGGCAGAAATCCAACTGGGCAGATTTCTCCCACTTGGAACAATCCTTCACCTGCTATTACCCACTTCCACTTTACAGCTGTTATCCTGGTGCTGAGGTGATGGTGGAGGAGGAGGAAGAGGATGATGGGAGTGGATGGTAAGGAAGAAGCCCATCCACCCCACAGCTAAAGAAGAGTTAAGGGACAGGCGGCTGAAGGGAATTTCGCCCAAGGAAGGCGTGAAGGGGCGTGGGAGGGCCAAGGCGAGCCAGCGGGAATGTCTTTCGCGCCGGGTGAGCGTCGAAAGGCGGCAGCCGCGTCCCTCTTCCACCTCCCATCCTGGAAGCAGACACGGTAACCGGCCCGGCGGGAGTAGCTCTCTGCTGCCTGCCCCGAACTTGCTGCTTTCCCCGAAAGTGAGAAATCAAAAGTCAAAGTTAGGAAATCGGTCGAGAAAAAGAAAGGACGGTTCTTTGTTTGGCAGGGGGAGGCAAAAAAAAAAAAAAAACCCACTCTGTGCAACATGTGGGCGCTCGGGAGAGGCTGGCTCCGTCGATAGCGTCCTAGCCAAACTTGTGGGGCGCATGGGAGGGGGAGCCTTTACTCAGAGGCGGTTTGAGGGTTTGGGGGTCTTAGATCTGAAGCCGTGAGGGGTTGCCAACTTACCTCGGGCCCCGGGTGGCGGTGTAACGAAGAGGCTGAGCAGCAGGCAGAGTATCTGGGTCGGGGGGCGAGGGAAAGGAGGGCTGCGTGGTCGTTCTGCCTGGAAGCGCTCTGACATTCTTAATCCAGGCTGCAAGACAAACTTGGATCAGCTGGTCCCAGCCCCATGAATGCACAGTTGCAGAGCGGAGCGAAAAGAGTCCTGAAAACTCAGGATGTGAGATATTTCCTGCATGCAGTTCACTCCGAAACCCCTCCTGCTCCTGCCTAGGCTGCTGATGAGTTGGGCTTTGGTTTCAATTTTTTTTTTTTATAATTTTAAACTGTTGGTGGGTTGGCTTTTTGCCCCCCCCCCACCTCCTTGGCAAGAACAAATCTGTTGACCGTTTGCAACAACTGAGCAACTCATCCAAGCTGGCAACAGGAGGCACTAAAAATCTTTTCCTGAAAGAAGGCAGGCCTTGTGAAAAACTGCCCTTGCCAACTTTTACAGTTGTCATTATAATGGAACTAATTGTTGTCTTCTTCGCTTTCCTCCTGCTGCTCCTGTGCCGGGTCCTAGCGCCCTTCCAAGCTTGGGTAGATAGAACCCGTCCCTTTACAGAGAGGTTGACCTGCTTGCCAGTTTTCAATCGGTTTGGAAGGAAAGGCGTTCATTTGGAATTCATTTTTAAGGTTGGCTGTAAAATCCCTTTTCTCCTCCAAGGATGATAAATGATCTTGTTTTGTCTCGAAAGTCATTCCATCTCAAGTCTCAAATAGTTGAGTTTGCATGTCTGGAAAATGATTAGGGATAAAAGCTGATGGATTCTCATTCTTAATTTGATTTCAAGTGTTGGTTATGATCCCATTCCTTTTAGGAGAAACTGAGGAAGATTGCAAATCTACCTCTATAATGGTAATAGTTATCCACCTGGTAGATACATTTGAAATAAATCCTGAAGGCAGAGGGATTTACTGGTGTAGAGACCACACAGACACAACTGCTACTATTATGAAGAGGAGGGGGAAAAAAGACTGTATAGTTCAGTAAATTTAAAATGACAGAACTTGGCTATCCCTGATTGATTTCTTTTATTTATGAAATGCTGTGACTGAAAAAGTTCTGCTCATATGTCCGTGCAAAAAAACAACAACCCCAAAACATTTAACCTAGGGACCTCAATATCTAACAGATCTTTATAGCTTATGGAGGTCAGATGAATCTGTGAACCTTGCTTTTTGCATCCAAATCTCTGTGGGGTTTAGAGTTTCTCCTGTTTATTTTAGTATTTCTCATCCCTTCCTATTGATTCCAGTGAAAGGGAATTTACTCTGCCATCTCCAAATCTAATTAATTTCTGGACCCATTTTAGAGATTTCTGAGAGTTTTATTTTGCTGACCTATTGTGTCACTTAATACACCTTGTTCTAGTTTCACTTTCTAGCAAAGCATTTTTGATGACACAACAATCGCGGCACATCTTTTCCTGACAAACAAATGGGAATTCTTCAGCATTAACCCTCCCTCTTCAAAGACGAAGTAGATTACAGGGGTGTCAAACTGGTGCTCCATCACTTGAGACTTTCAAGGAGAGATTGGACTGCCTTTTGTCAGAAATGGTGTAGGGTCTCCTGCTAAGGTGGGGGGGGTTGGACTAGATGACCTACAAGGTCCCTTCCAACTCTGTTTAACTGTAAAAAAAAAAAAAACCCGACCCCAGCTCCCTGAAGGGGAAAAACATCACGATATGTCATGTGACGGCAATGTGATGCTGCAAGTTTGACACCCGTGAAATAGAATGTCCATAAAAACTTGTTACATGCTTTCTAAAATAAACTCAGTCTCGATGAAGAAATGTAATCATATATCATTAACTGCAACGCAAATCTTATGCAAGAAAAATGTTCTTAGGGATGCTTCTCCCCTAAAATACAAATGTACATATTCAGTCAGAAAAAAAATACTGGGTGCAATGTTCATGGCCCATCTGTTGCCACCAACTTGTAACTGAAGGTGGAAGACATTAAAGTAGTCATATGAATTGCAATTAATGTAATGTTAATTCCAATTTAATTAATTGATTTTAGTTTTAGTTTTAGTTCTGGTCCTGCAACATTGTGCATCCTTGTCCTTTCTCTAGGTTAATATGTTATTGTAGTGGAGATGGGCAGCTGAAGCTACTAGGTGACTATATTTATATACAATCCGTATCTTTTTTCCAGTGACAGATTTTATTCAAATTGGAAAAAGTTTGTTTTGCCCCAAAGTGGACTACAAATCATGGGAGCAACAAGGACCGTGGAAGCACATTTTCTGGCTAGATCTGGATTTGGGCCATTTGTCCTAATCCCTGAATTGGAACCTCTAAAATAAAGCAGGGAGGGAAAGTACAGATAGTTCTCCCTTAATAAGCGGTCACTTAGCAAATGTTTGGGGTTATGACGGATCTTACCAGAGCTACTTTGCAACCCATTTTCAAATTTCTAATGCCATCTCTCCCGCTTTCACAATCACATGGTTGCATTTTGGGCCCTTGGCAATTGGCTCAATTTTCAGTATTTTTTTTTGCCAGTTTCCAATGTTTATTTGAAGTTTCCAGAAAAATGCACCTATTGCTGAAAATAGATTTGCTTAACTACCACTATGTTTGCTTAATGACCTCTGCAAAAAATAAAACAAAAGTTTGTAAATCAGGCACAGTCCTTTAACAACAGCCATGACCTTAGACCAGGCGTCTCCAACCTTGGCAACTTTAAGCCTGGAGGACTTCAACTCCCAGAGCTGGCTGGGGAATTCTGGGAGTTGAAGTCCACCAGGCTTAAAAGTCGCTGGCTGGGGAATTCTGGGAGTTGAAGTCCACCAGGCTTAAAGTTGCCAAGACTGAAGACCCCTTAGACCAGTTGCCAAGGTTGAAGACCACTTAGACCATATTTCTGGGCTCAATTATGGTAATTAAATTGAGGACTTGTATAGGCAGAAGCATCAGAAGTATTTTTTTTTTCAGTTACGCTTTTGCTCAGATGTGTAGCTTTACCCTTTCTCTCATTTCCTGTAAGGCTCTTCAGTAATCTAGATTTGAAAGCCAAAATGCATTGTGGGCCATAACAGGAATACCCTAGTCCTGTATCAGAATGGGTTAAAGCAACTCTTATCTTTCCTTGGCCATGTCTGGCTGTCCTTCCCATGTGTCACATGATTCTGGGCAGAAATGTTCAGGGTAAGGAATTTCCAACAAGCCCTACCTATATGCGCATGCATGTTCCAAATCAAATTTTGATCTTTAAATCTAGATCTAATTTCCCACAAAACTGGGACTTTTCATAACACAAATTTCCCGCTTCTTTGAGTCTTTTTAATCATTGCTAGCTTTTTATGTATATCTAGGCCTCCCATAATTTGATGCAACTATAATCACACAAGCACTTCTTTTGTGCCATTTATTAAAACAAACATCCTACGTTTATTTTTTTTACTGCTGCAGGGTTGAGTTTGCATAAGTTCCACATACTCTATATTGGTTGGCCCAGTAACAAGCTTAAAAGGGAAAATATAGCCATTTATTTAAAAACAGAGTTTTCAGAACAGGATTGCCTCTTCTACCTCACCCCAATTCCTGGTGAAATTCCCCAAGGGATCTCCCCATTTAAATCAAATGGTGGCAGCTTTAGTATCCAGCCATTCTAGAACTCAGGGTGAGAGGCTGTGAGTGTAGAAATCCCAGGACAGGATATAGCAGTCCTGTGGACAGTGTTTATGACCAGATATCCTGTTACAATTACTTGTAAAAATCCTCATGTAAAGAAGAAGCCAGAGCTCTGGGAAGGATGCGGCAAAGCAGACCATGAAAGCTTCATGTTAGTGCATACATATACTGGTAACATTAATAGGTCATCAACTGAGGTTATCTCTTCTGGAACAGCTTTGTTCCCTATGCCATCCGTCTGGTAAACTTGCAAGATTAGTTTTTCTCGCCATGCGCATATATACATCCAAACTAGAATATGTTGTTTCTCTGTGGCATATATGCATAATTTTGTATTTATTTATTTTGTCATGTTTATGTGTTATGTGTATATTGGAGGTGGAGACCCTTTGAGAGCTGTATGCAATGAAGTTTCATTTTAATGTATGCCGATTAGTGTACATTTAAAGTGACAATAAAGTTATTCTAACTCTTCCAACTAACTAACTAGTGTATTGAGGAAATAATCTGAGGTAATGAAATATGTGTGACACTTTTTTTAGTCACTGCTGGTGTGCTGCATTTTATTGAGTATTCATCTCAGTGCATTATTCAAATTAGATGCCATCATAGACCTCTTTATCCTAGATGTTGTAATCAACCATGGAGCTAACATAAACCATCATCTGTCAACTGTGGAAGCCTAAAAGATGATTTGTGACTTTGGACTAGTCTGTCCCTTTCATTCCAATCTATCCCTTAGGACAGTTGTTGTGGATGGGAAAAAAAAGCAAGTCTTCAAGCAAATGGAAGTATAACCTTAATCTGGTTTAAAAGAACTAATACAGAGTTACTTGACTTTAAAGTGAAATACCTTGGATAAACATGGCACATGAGGTAGGGATAAATAGGAGCTGACATTTCTTCCTTTTCATTTTGCATGAATTCAATCTAATGAATGGCAAAGGGTTATCATGTCTTAGAATTGATCAGAATTTTTATAAAGTTATAAAATTATTGTATGAAAATCTTCCTTCCTGGTCAGTTATGAACACTTGCAAGCTCACACCAGGTACAGATATTATTTTGGTCTTATTTTAACATATGAGCTTCAAATGGATTGTCTCAAACAGATATTAGGTATGGATTGTGTCATATAATTAATTAAATGCCTTTTGGATGGACAAATAGAGAAATTAATGGACATTTTGCTACTATTCGGGACTTCAGTTCCTTAACAGAGACTACATGTATTATCAAAAGTTACAAATGATCCCTAAATCTATCCCTAAAATTCTCATATTTACTTGTTTGTAACCTTTAATTGGGTAAAATGTTGCATCATAGGGCAACAATTTTTTAAATCACATACCTCAAATGGGCTAACGTAAAGAATGCATTCAAAATCTGGGACCCATGATTCCCATGGGACTAAAATTTGGCAACTATGTGGCTGCTTCACACTTCTGCACTGCCACTAGCAGCCATAGTCATATGATTGTCATTTCTAATGTTCCCTGTCAGCTTCCTTCAAGGAAAGTCAGTGGGGAAGATGACAGGAAGTCAGAAGTTGCTCCTACTCCCATCGGTGGTTGTTTTTTTTTTTTG